TGCAGCAGCCCTGGAGCTGCAGAGGAAAACTCCCCCCTTGTGCAGGATCCCTGCTGCAGCAGAGCCACAGCTGGCACTGCAGGAGGGCTGAGCCCCCATGGGATGGGGCTGGGACACCCCCTGGCACACAGGGGGCAGGGACTGCTCTCACTCTGGCAGTGGGTTGGTTTTGTTGTTTGTACTATTGCATTTGTATTTTAAATTTTCTTATTACAGAACTGTTATTCGTCTTCCCATATCTTTGCCTGAGAGCCCCTTAATTTCAAAATTATGATAATTCAGAGGGAAGGGGTTTACATTCTCCATTTCAAGGGAGGCTCCTGCCTTCCTTAGCAAACACCTGGCTTTTCAAATCAAGACACCCTTTGTTGAAGGCAATGCATTCTGCCTCTTTCTCTTCTAGAGAACAGCATCAAGGACAGGTAAGATTCATGCTCTTATTCAAAAATCCACACTCAGAAGACTAAGGAGAAGCCATTAATTCCAAAAGTCATTAGTTTCCAAACAGCCTGCACTAGAAGAAGTGTTGGAATAGAATGGAGCAATTTCTCCAGATACCACCCATAGCCTGTTTTGAGTCACGCAGAGTCACACCAAGTCCCATTTATAAGCAGAGTGATGAATGCTCAAAAGGATGTGCCAGCGTGTGAAATCACTCTGTGGCTCATTTAAAAAACTGTAATCCAACTACAACTTCTCCATTTTCAAACCCAAGTAAAATAACAAGTGGAAATGTGACACTGGATTGCAAGCACATGAGAATGAACTCAGATGGGAAACTTTAAGGTACACAAGGATTGCAGGACCTCTGGAATAAACATTTGAACACCTCTCATACATTTATCTAACTGCATGTTCATAAGAAAGGAATCTCAGTAATAAAGAATCAATAAACATACCGCATTTTTCACGAAACATATTTTCTACTCTCTCCTTCAAGTCATTGATTTTGCTATTCCACAGATCTGCCAGGAAGAAATTGGAAGAATTAGAACAACACTCACACAATGAATCAGTCTTTGAATAACATTTTAACAAATCTTTAATAAATTATTATGCTTGATAACCAATTTACTATGGCAGTAAAAATGTGTAAAATGGCTTTCATTTTGCAAAACTATATCCACATCCATCCTTATTTTCCTGAAGCTTTGAAAGATACTGTAACTAAATAAAGCAAAGGTGATTAAAAGTGAAATTAATCCAAGACTGATCCAAAATTACTATCAGATAGCACGAAATTTCCTCATCTGTTACTCACCTAGTACCCAAAATAGTGGCACAAAGCTCCTCATGTGTTCAATGACACAGCCCTGAAACATTTGCCTCTCTCCTGAGAATGTTAATCTTTAGCACAGTTTCTACTCCAGTGATGAGATTAAATGTCCATTTAATTTAAGCATTTTGTTTCTGACAGCCATCAGAGCAATTTCTACACCAGTTTACTTGTGGCTGCACTAAGTGGGCCATGGCTGGTCTACAAAACTAAAACCTCAGTCTAAAGTTTAAAAAAGTTGCAGATTTTTTTTAAAAAAACAACTAGGTCTAACAAGCAATAAAAGTCCAAGAATACAACTTGTGCTAAATTAGTATCTCATTCATTCTCAATTGGCTTGGTAGGAGTGAATAATTCCTTTCTTATAGGTTTTTTGACCATACAGCTATAAAGAAAGCATAGGGGACAGAAAAAGATAAAGCAAATAACAGCAGATTCCTACACAAATGTAAGCAAATAAACTCAGACTGTAAGTATGCTGAAAAAAGTTTTACTGAGACCTAGATCTCCTTACAGTTACTTTGAATGCAGTCACTCATCTCAGCTGACAATGAAGAATTGTTTGGATTGCAAATTGACCCTGCTTTCAATACTGAGATTTTTGTTCCAGAGCACTGCACCAACAGGCCTGGGCCCCCATGGCCAAAAATTCACGGCCTACATTGATGAACAAACACAACTGCCTGCCTTTCAGCCCTGCCCAGCTTTTCCTTTAATGATTTCCCAGAACTGTAGAGGTCAATCATGGCAATCATGCACAGTCAGCTCTGACAGGTCATGGCTTTCTCGTGTTAGTTCAAATCCTACCTGGACCCTTCATCCCTCCTAGAATCTCTGCACAGGGATGTCAATACTTCACATTTGTGGTAAGCTTATGAAATTTATGCACATGGGTTTATGCTTTTGGTGGTACTTTGCACCAGAAAAGTCCTTCAAGGGTCTGCAGCATTGTGCAGTAACAGAGCAGCAAAAATCCAAAACTGCCTCTGCACCTGAATCAGTAATATCTAATGGATCTGGGCTGCATTTGTGCAGCATGCTCCACATATCATCCAGGATTTCTCTACTGCAGATTACTACACATAATGAAGAACTGAAAGTACACAAAAGGGAGGACTTCAGTCATTCACTAACTGTATATCAGAACATGAACTCAAAATATCTGATATGCAATCCAGGTGTTGCACATCAACATTACAGGAACGCATCTGTGCTAATTCCCCCAACACTTACCAAAAGAAAAGTCTTTTCCTTGTTGCTTTGAATTTGCACTGGAGCCACTGGTATTAGAATCAGTTTCTGCATTTTTAGTTTGGTCCTTTTTAGGACCTATGAAGAGACATTACATATTTAAGGTAGAGAGCAGAAACAAGACATCATACAAAAAGAACAATGCATCAAACTTGATTACTAGAGAAATTTTCAATTCTAAATCAAGAACAGAATTTTTAAAAAGCCTTTAGGAAGTTCTAGAGTTGTATTTAAGCATTCAATGCTACTGCCCACATCTGTGATCTCTCTGCTCAGGACAACATCAGTTCCCACATCTCTGCTTGGAATAACAGGCCAAGCAAGCTGTCAAACTGCAACATTTTACCTAAGCATCATCTACACAGTATCCAGTTTGTTTCAGAAATGAAATAAGTTATAAAGTTATATATAAGTTATATAAAAAGTTATTTTATACTGAAGCATATCTGGAGCTCTCAAGAGTTTGCTACATGAGGTGTATGTTACTTATGGGCCATGAAAGCTTAGAAGAACAGAAAATATAGAAGAATATAATAAAAGAACATCAGAAGAATAATTGTTTCTTCCATACTCTCTTCAATAGTAACTTCAATCTCTGGAACACTTGAATTTTCTGAAGAACTTCGTGACCTTTTGGAAGTATCTGGACTAATTCCTGGAAGCCCAAAGAACACAAAGTGTAAAGCACAAATTTTGCACACCTAACAAAGGAACAGCTGTATTCTAAGAATTCTAACAGACTCAACTAAGTAGAGTCTGCACAGTTAAACCTGAACAATACAGTGATGCTCACAACCTTAAGAAGTAGTTTTAGTGCTCTTGAAAAAGACACACCTAGATTTTCCATTAATTCAGAACAAAAGACTTTGTTTTTTCTAAGTGAGAAGGAGAGTTTTGGTACTTTTTATTATCTAAAACCCAAAAAAAATACTAACATCTGAATATTCTACAGACAAAAGATTATTTTATGCTTTTCTTATAAAATACCATTATTATTTACAGCAGTTCACAGCTCTCAGTTTAAAATGGTTGAAGCCATTAAAAGTGAAATAGAAGTTGTCAAAATTGAGTAAATTCCTTTTCTGTACTAGAATAGTCCAGTAGAAAAGCAGATACATTTATGGTTTGGGTGTCTTTCTCAAATAATAGCAGATTTAGAGGCTACTATGCTAGATCATCTTAAATAATACCTTTTATTTACAACACCTGTATTTTTCAACCACAAAGATCTCTCAGTCTGCTAGGGAAGTATAAAGGAAGTATTTACAAATGGATGGCAGCAAATAATATTTAATTGTTTACCTGTTTTCTTTAATTTACTAGCCACTCTTAGAGGCAAATGGGAAATGACAAGGTCAGGCCTGGAAGTTGAACAGAACAAATCCAATCAATTGCAAGACAAGTCATACAGCAAAAAGTTACCAACTTCTTGGAATTCATTTGAGTTCCAATTCACATAACATCAGCTCTCTACAAGGAAATTCTGCTAGAAGCATGGATGACTCTCCATCTACTATAACCACAAAAAACCAGAAAACATAAAGATGTATTTTCTCTTCTGCAATTTTCTTCGGGGTTTACTTCAAACAAAGAAAAATACAGAAAAAGAAAATAAAAAAAGAAGGAACAAAGCTTCCAGGTACAAGACCATTTCCCCTCCTCAGTTTTTGATGCATGAAACACACAATTTATACATCTACAGAAACTGAATGAGGAATGTATGTCCTTGTATGAGATAAAACATATGTGCAAAATATTCTTTGTGTTTCATGGAAGCAGAGTTTAGCATTTAAAGCCTAGAGTTGCTGGGAACGAAGTCAAGTAACTTCAAAATCAGAGAATGTAATATAAAAATAACTGGATCACAAACTTACTTCTGAATAGTAAATTTGATTTTGCTACCGGCACGGATGATCCTTTCGAGGCGCGGAATTCCAAACCAGGTGGGGCTCCGGAAGGGAACTCCCTCTGGCAAACCTTCCACCAACAAGTAGTCAGGGTGTGACTCAAACAAAGAATAGGGAATTTTCACTAACTCTGAAACCCCCAGAGCTTCAGCTGAAAATAAAGATTAAATCATGTATTACAAACTTAAATGGGTGGAATTTTATCTCAAGTGGTTTTAAGAATCTTTTCTTACAGAAGCTCTGATACTCAAAGCCCCTTGAAAAAAAAAAGGAATATTTGAAGAGATTCCCTATTATTTTCTGTGGAGTAGCTGCAATGGGAACTTGGCCCATCTTGTTACAGATAATGTCTAATATAGGCCTACAGTGACTGATGTTTTATTTTGAGAACTTCTTTTCATCCAAAAGAAACATCTCGTCACACAACTGGAAAAATAACAGCCTAGGATGCTGTTATAAAAACATTAATGTCAGTTACAGGAAAGAGTAAGTAAAACATAGGTAAGAGGAGTCAAGATTTCCATACTTGTCCTAGTATACTTCTGATGCTTAAGTAAATACTGTAACATTTAAACAGAGGAGTTTCGAAATGCAGCAGCATTGCACAACAGTTCATTTAGCATTAGTAAGTTCATTAACTTACCAAACTTCACTCTAAATATATCTTCTACTTTGTTTCTTAGCTTTGTAATCTTGACATTCCAATCTTCTCTCCCTGAAAACCAGAAACAGGTGTCAGAGAATCACCCAGCTCTAGATACAAAGGTACCTTTGAACATCTTTCAGCACAAGAACATGAAAACTAACAACACAATTACATCTGATTAAACAGGGATACACAATGAGTAATGATTATTTATAGCAGCTTAAATGATACACCTAATTTCCTCTACATAATGAAAAGTCGATTTAAATGTAGTTATGAATTTCAAACACTGACCCTAGCAGAACAACTTGTTCTCCAGAGCCTTCAGATGCAGGAAGAAATGATTTTAGTGGTTCTCCCTGTTAAAGGCACATCATGCTTTCAAGAAGTGCCTACAATTCCTTACCAACAGGAACCTGAAAGAGCTCAGGGTCACCTGTGAAAGCCCAAAGGACTGCAGACCTTTGATTCAGGCCAGGACAGTAACTCCAGTTATTGTTATGGTTATTCAAAGGCAGCTGGGACTGCATCAGGATTTCACAATCCATCCACATCCACAGTGATCAGCTCATTCCTTCCAACCCTCATGAAGAACATGCCAGCACACTCATCACACATGGGTTCCTTCTTGAAAAATGCTGCACTGATCTAGATGTGTTTCCCCATCAAACCCTTCCATTCCCACATGGAGACAGCACCTGTCTTACCTTGAGGGTTTGAGCTGTGCTCAGGACTTTCGTTTGGAACGTTATTTAGCAGCTCTGGCCTGCAACCAGGACACAAAAAATCTGCTTATTCTTGTTGTAAAATAAATATCACTACCTATTATGACATTAATTGAAGAACATGAATTTTTCCATTATGTTTTTCACACTTGTCAACATGTTAACAGATATGCAAAATACATTCCGAAATATTTGTCTGGATTGCAAATGCCCACCATACCATGCAGAATATTCAATTTGCCTATTTGGTAACTAGAGACCAAATGCTTCATTACTTAATGAAACCAAGTGCTTGATTACACATAGGGTGCTTGTTTGGACTCCCCCTTTAAAAACCCTCCATGTTTAGACTTACCTTTTGATCACAAATTTTATTTTGTGGCCCACTCGAATTATTTTTTCAAGGCAAGGGATTCCATACCACGAGGGACTCCTAAAGGGGATGTTCTCTGGCAGCCCTTCAACATAGAGGTCAGTTGGATGTGCTTCAAATTTCTTGTATGGAACAGCTCTGGGGTGATTGCTCCCCAAAGCCTTGGCTGTAGGAACAAAACACATCCAGTCACTGTATAAATAATAATAATGCTTTTAATAAAGCAACCTTTATTAAAAGCTAGCTGATACCAATTCCTCAGGCTGTTGCAACTATGCTATATGGAACAATGCAGGACATCTAAATTCAACAAAACCCAAGTCTCTGCATGTAAAAACTGTAAAAAAATTGCCATATTGTATGATGTTGCTGTTGGGCAGTCACAATACCAGACTTGACTGCTTACTAGGGCATAATACATTTGTTTTGTCCAATGTTGTTAATCTGTTATAGAGTATCATGAAAATATTTATTCTAAGTCTTATAACTTGATTTTTTTTTCATATTGAACAGAACATAAAAATTCACCCCAAAATGTTTTAATACTAATTATGATGATATTGCAGTGGATATAAGTAAACAGCTGTTTTACCACCAAAGGAAAAAAAGCCAGACAGGAAGGAATTGACAGCAATCAGAAGAGCTGTATAGGTAAGACTTAAAATTCTTTTTAAATTATGAATTTACCTTGTATAAGCAATAAACTAAAACATTCTTTTTCACTTTCATTATTTTAAATTCCAGAATTTTAATATAATTGAAAAAAATCTGGAATTTAAAATAATGAAAGTGAAAAAGAATGGTTTACTTTACTGCTTATTTAAGAATTTTAAATACTTGGAAAAAAAATCTGAACAAAGGTCTCATTCACACAGACATTGAAAGGAAGGAATGAAAGCAACCTTCAAGAAATACAAAGCCATTCAGAAAAGAAGATAATAACATTGTACTTACCATACATTTTACAGAAAAGTTGATCTACCATCTTTCTCAGTTTGGTGACTCTGGAATACCATTCTGGTTTTGTTGGATTTGAGACTGACGCTGAACAAAACCAACATTCCTTAATTATACAGGTTAAATTTTCAGTTGTTCAGTTTATACACTGCATAATCATCCCGCATTTTCAGGTAACACATAAATGCTGTATGTAAGAAGTATGGATTCAATGTGGAACCAGAAAAAAATGACCATAAAATAGTGACAGAATGTTAAAACTGACAAAACTCCGCTGAACCAGTGACATCACTCTTGCTACAAAATACACACAATGTTTTGGCTTGAAGAACTGCAATACTTTCATCATCCACCTCCAAACTGCAGATTCCACTTGGAGATGCAAATAGTTTTTCAATGGTTTAAATTCCTGAAGAATTTGTTGATATTCAGTGCAGAATCAGGCATATGGGATGAAAATTTGCTTTTAAGGGATCAAAGCACATATAATACAAATCATTTTTTGCTCCTGAATATGACTTTGTGACCAACAAGTGAAGCTTCCCAGTCTCAAAGAGGACATTGGCCTGCTTACACACCATGGGTTCAGTCAGAATGCAAAAGCAATGGTTTCTGTTCCATACTTCCACCAGACTGGGCTATCAGCATAAGCTCCAGCTGACACTTCCTGAGACCCAGCTGCTCTGTCTGCACCCACTATCAGTCTTCTCAGAGTTTCAGGACTGAGGCCATTCTACAAAACCTTCCTGACCAGCCTGCTTCCCACAGGAATGCAAATGAAAATCATCTTTTCCTCTGCCAGCCAAAATACAGATCCATACTCATCCCATCCCTTTCCTGCTGAGGACAGAAGCCATCAGGGCCTGTGGACAGAGCAGGAATTGGACATGGAGCCACAAAGAGCTGAGAGAGCAGGGGCTGGTGCCCCACAGCTCTGTCTCCTGAGATGCCAGTGGACACAGGGAGCAGCAGAGGAGATATTAAATTAGTGGGAAAGAGGGAATCCAAAAGGAAAACACTGCAGGAAAGGAGGCTCAGACAGCTCCTGACTCCTGTGTTCTCTGAGATGTTATTGACAGCTCCCAGGGATCTTATTAGAGAAGATGCAGAGGTCACACATGTCTCTATGAAGTGATAGCTGGTGATGACAAGCCATGTAAGAACTGTTCAGAACCCTGTGCCATAGAAGTTGGTTACCACCAGTTTTCGTAGCTGTTTAGGGGATTTATGAGTTGAGCAATGTACTTGCTTTGCCTCCATAATAAGTACAGTTGTATTAAAAATTACTAAAACAACACAAAAAGGCTAATTTAAAAAGCCAAATAACAGTCCAGTTAAGGCTAAGGCTCAGTTACTAGCCTACCTACTATTTTTGTAGTTGAATTTTGTGCTTGAAGGTACAGTAGGTTATTAAGACTCAATACACTAAGTTAACTTCAGGAAAGCAAAGTTTAATTCCTGCACACACATTAAATAAACAGCCTTATGGTATCTCTGCTTAATTTAGATCCTTAATATTCACTTTAATACTGTCTTTGATAGAAGACTATGAGTATAAAGGACAAATAGAAATATCACATGTGCTTGTACAACTCACACATTTGAAAACCTACCTTTTGAAGCTGTAGTGACCTCTGGAGGATCTGCTAAATTCAGAAGTTCAGGCCTGAAAGGTTAAAGGTACATGTTTCAACAGTGACAGACACTGGAGAAACTAGCCTCCAGCTACAGCCTCAAGTTATATTTACTGAAGGATCAAGCCCAAAATCCTCCCAGGGGACATCATGATCCCCAACTAATGCTGAAGTATCCTAAGAGCTGGCTGGAACCCTATTGACAAACCAATTTTCATGCCCAATACCCATATTTGATGACTATGGGCATCTACCCATTTCATGGTGACATACAGGTTCCATTAAACTTACCCCTGAGTTGTGAGATAGACTTAATCAAAGATAGACATTAAAAATTTAATCTCTAAAAGTGTAAACTTCAAAGCAGACAACTCTCTTTCCAAAATATAACTAATTTTATCCACAGCTGAACAAACAAAAAATTAAACTTTTTGATGTTTCTCACAGAGCCAACTAGATCTTAAGCTGTTCTTGTTACACATTTCAAAATCAATGAACACCAAAAATTTCTGTTAACAACTAAGACATATTTGACAAAAGCAGGTGCCAGCATTGCATAAATAATTAGATGTATGTATGATATCTGATTTTAAATGAGACACAAGGTAGATCTACACTTCTTCCTTTTCTAGTTACCTGCAAGCATTAGGATGATGGAAACTGATGATGTTCCTCTCAAATGTAAGCAAATAGCACCGTGGTAAAGGCAGCATGCACAGAGTCAGAGGCTGCCACTACCCCCAATTCTGAGCCTGACCATTGCAATCAGCAGATTCCTGTCCATTTCTAAAACTCTTGCATTAGGCCCTACACCACTGAAGACAGGAAAACATCAGCTGTTACTCACTGAAACTTCCTTTAAATGTCAGTCAATCTCCATCTGAGCTCTCCTTCATGTTCACTACCTGATCTACCTCCAGACACACCAAGGACACCTAAACCACAGGAACCAGTAGCTATGTGTTGGCCTCAAGCTTGCCCTGGGAAATGCTTTATACAAATACAGCCCTAGACAGCTTGATACAATATTCCAGCATTTTTTTTTAAAAGCATAAGCTGAAATTAGGCCAGGATCTTGAAACAGGATGGATCTTCAAATAGGATCAAGTATTCCAAAGTCAATGGCTTTCAACATGTATTGCAGCTGCAGAGATCTGAACAGTACAAAGAGATCTGCCCCTGACAAAAGCCCCTAATATTGAAGAGATCTGACCAGAGATCTCTCCACTCCCACTCTCAGTGGTCCACTGGCCTGATAAGCTGAATATATCAAAATGGACATCAACTAAAAATCACTCCTTAGTACCATAAATTAATATACCAGCAGAAACCAGTTTGGAATTCCGTGGAGAAAAATGAAGCAAAGTGGCAGAGGCAGAAAACAATGAGTAATGCAGAGCCAAAAATGAACAGCTCTGTGACAGGGGTCACAAGGGTCTTCAGGGTGAGAGAGAGATGAGAATGTTGAATTCATGTTCAGAATGCTTGATTTATCATTTTATGATATATATATATATATATATATTACATTATGACTATACTAAAAGAATAGAAGGAAAGTTCTCAGAAGGCTAGCTAAGCTAAGAATAGAAAAGAATTAATAACAAAGGTGTGTGTCTCAGCAGAGAGCGAGACCCAGCTCTGCCCTGAGTGGTCAGTAAATCCAAACATCCACCCGAGACCAATCACGGATCCACCTGTTGCATTCCACAGCAGCAGATAACCACTGTTTACACTTTGTTGCTGAAACTTCTCAGCTTCAGCAAGAAAAATCCTAACGAAGGGATTTTAATGAAAAGATGTCTGTGACACAGCTCCTCACTTTTTGATGACGAAGCGGATCCGGTCCCTGGCCAGCAGGATCCTCTCCAGCCGCGGGATGCCGTAGGTGGCCGGGTTCCTGAAGGGAATCCCATCTGGCATCCCCTCCACAAACAAATCCTGTGGATGGGACTGGAAGGCTCCATATGGGACAGATGCTGGGCCCTCTCTTTCGATAGCTTCAGCT